CAGAAATTAATAAAGCATCTCAAAGATACGGCTCGACCAGGCCAAAAACGTAAGAAACCACCGTGACAATTGGTTTGCATTATGGGAACATCTCAAATCCCATGGATGAGAGTTTTGGGCCCAATTTTATCTCAGTCTGTGGGGAACTGCACCAAGTTGTTTACCCATCACGCAGCAAAATAATTCTTCACATGTCACTCAAATCCGATCTTTCATAAGCCAAAGAAAATAACCCCTCCCCAGCTCATGTGCTCAAACACAAGGGCAATGGTGCTGTTAGTGAGCAACGGATCTGATAAGGCTGAATAAATAAGCAGACAATGTTTAAACAAGCAGCCAGAATATCTGGATGAGGCTGAGTCAGTGGCCGATGAAAGAAACTTCTCCAGCAGCACACTGGAACGGCCACCTTTGTTTCCCCACGGCTGATCTCTGTCATACCAAATCGGATAACTCCGCTCAGGCTCGGTCTATCGCTACGAGAGCCCCAGGCCGAGTTCAGACGTAAATTGGCACTGGTCGAGAGCACTGTTGCCAGAAAGTGAACCAGAGATCGAATGGAATAACGTATCGAGAATGACGACGGCTCTTTATCAGTCCACCGCTGGATGACGGCATCGCTACACCGTATCGGTCATCGGGGTTGTTGGACAAAGACTTCCTCATGTTGATTAGTGCGGAACGGTGCAAGGGGGGCCCAGGATCAGTTCAGATATCAATCTCCGCTGACATCAGCGGCGGAAATATTGCAGTATCCAAAATGCGGTGCTGTCTTACAGCAGACAAAACCCTCCATTCTGCCCTCACACAGGGTAGGCACAAGCGCTAGAATGAAGTGCTGTCAAGGACTATCACGGGGTGAAGAGTCCTGATAATGGGCTGGCGTATCCAGCACTATGCCCAGCTGCCTTGGTCTCCCCAGAGCTGACAGTTCACACGCAGGGCACCGGGGAACTCACGCAGACCACCGCTCGTGCACGCGCGCACATTTACCCGAGCCGTTAAGAGAGCAAACGACAGAATGTTTACGCGGGCCCCGCATGACCGTACCAAACTCCCATGACATCTCGCACACAGCGGCGTCTCTGTCGGAGGAGTCTTACTCGCAGTCGGGCGCCAAAGCCCCCCCCCCCCTCACCCTCGTGTGCGGTCCCATCGTTCACTTATTTCTGGAGCCGTTTCGGAACGGTGGTGAAAAGAACCTCGGCATATTGGTGACAATAACAACAACATCGGTTGTTGTGGCGTTTCCCTTCAGTTCGTTTGTCGGATTTCTCAGTCTACCACTTTGCTACAAAGAGTGTTCTCGAAATATCGGATTAATTCTTCAGAGCTGTAGTTTTCCTTCACAAATCCCCGCTCTTTTCCATGAAGAGAAAATGCAGTGATTTGGGTGATAAATATCGCCTGTGGACCGTATCGCAGTGGTAGGCCCAAGGCTTCGTTTCTGCCAGGTCTGTCCGGTCCCAGTGACCCGAAAAAGAATTCCACACCTGGCATACAACATCCAGTATTCCTCTCAATGTGGCTACGACCAGTCATACCAAATCCAGTCCAACCGACGACCCGGAAATAATCCAATGAGATCTTAATCCCTGGCATGGCCTCCTGTACGTAGGGTGGCCACCTGTCATTTAAATTGTGACTACCAGGTCTATGCTTTGTGACCTATGTCTACACAGGCTGGGGATAACCACTTCTTGTAGTTGTCCCAGGATCGTCCTACAATTAACACCAAGAAAAGACCACTCAAGATGAGGCAAAAATCTCCCCTCTTCATGTATTTTGAGTAAGTAAACTAAACTTTTTATTTAACCAGGTAAGGGCCCACCGAGCTATATAGAGCTCTTTTTCAGAAGCGACCTGGCCACAAATGATAGCTCAACAAAGTGGCTTATCGTGTGGACATTTATAGCAGCCAAATACTCTAAACACGTGACGTTGATTCTAAACGTGGAGGGAAAAACCAGAGGACTCGGAGAAAAATCCCTGCGACCACGGGGAGAGAGACATGCAAACTTAAAATATACAGCATGCGTCAGGGTTGGGATCGAAACCACGACCTCCCGCATACCAGGCGTGGAAGTTAACATCTCAAAGCCACTGCGGCACCTAGAGGTGGCCTCATACTGCGTGAAACCGCACGTGCCGTTACGAAATCTAGCAGAGGGCCGATGGGCCGCAGCTTCCGCGCCGCTGCGTTTGTCGACCGCCGTCGCTGCCGCCACATCAACCAAACGGCGCGGCCACGCGCTTGGGCCGGCGGGGCGCCCGTTCGCTCGGCACCTGCGTGTCGCGCTCGCCGCTCGCTGAGGCCCCAGCCCAGGCCGGCGATGACGAGGCCCAGCAGGGCGAGCGCCAGCAGCAGCAGCAGCGAGCGCTCGCGCCGGCTCAACCGTCCTGCCGGCGTGCCCAGCCGCGTCGCGGCGCTCGGAGTCGCGGGGGACGGAGGGGAGCGCGACGCGACTCGCGGACTCGACTCCAGCCCACCGTAGCCGGGCTGTGAACACAACGCAGAGACACAAAAAAAGACACAGATCCACCGTGTAAGCCTTCGTTTAACAGCCTGCAGAGGGCAAGTGCTGTAAGCAAGCCCTGAGGAAGGCATGGTGCACAAGGGGGTGGGGGGCCAGCACCACGCCCGGCCGCCTTTGTCTCCCCAGTGCTGATGTTTACACACCGCATCATGTGCTCGTTTACGAGACGACCGAGGGGAGGCCCAAAACCAGTTCAAATGTTCTCCACTGTTATTGGCCTTGAGCAGGAATCAACCTCTTCAACGGTCAACTACGGAACAGTGCGAGAGGTTCTTAGCGTGAATTACCAAAGGCGAAACCATCACAAACAATACCAGTTGCACAGGTCAGCTGAGATAATGCTTTTTGTTGCTGTAATTATTTAAACTGCAATTGCACACCATCTACAACTGCTCCGTTGCAACATGAACCCGCTCTCACAGCCGCCTGCGCGGTGACACACGGAGAGCGATGGAGGAACCACAGTAAACGCGGAGTGTCAGGCCAGCGTCGCGCCAACAGCTCTAACCAAACTCCGACGTTGGCCCAACGTCTACTGGGTGCGGGACTAATGCGACAGAGCACATGGACACACAACATGCCCGGCCTCACACCCGTGGTTGTTGTTCCAGGTGCATTATTCATTTAGTTCAATCACCTCCACTTCCTAAGGAGTCATCAAGACTGAGACGTATATCCCACCCCGCTGTGTCACGAGAAACCACGGGGATTGAACACAAATCCCATCACGGCTCGGCTGAACGAACTTGCTCGTATACAGACAAATGTCCCCCGTATAGCCTTTAACAGTCTCTTTGGGGCAAGTTCTCCTAGATGACCACCTATCACGGCTGGCACCGCACACGAGGGAGGGGTGGGTGGCCATCACCACGCCCGTCCGCCTTTGTCTCCCCGGCACCGACGTCTACACACCGCACCAGACACTCATTTACGGCTGAGTCGACCTAGGCCAGTTCAAACGTTCACCATTGTTGTATTATCCATGCAAAAAGGACAAAGATCCCCCGTGTAGCCTTTAACAGACTGTTAGGCAAGTGCTGCTAGCGAGTAGCACCTACGAAGGCCGGCACGGGGCACACGAGGGGCGGGGTTGGCCCACACCACTCCCGGCCGCCTTCGGCTCCCCAATGGCGACGTCTACTACACACCGCACCGGGTACTCATTTGAGGTCGAGTCGACCTAGGGAAGGACGCAGGACCGGTTCAGACAATCGTCACTTATCCACACGCACAGAGACACTCAGTGCGCACATCCTATTCAATACAATGCCGAGCAAAACAACCCACACACCAGGAGATACACTGCTCAACCAAGCCAAGTCAAAAAGCCCCCCTGCTCAATCATTCGTAGTTGCTGCAATCATATGCGCCGCCGGCTGCTCTGGCAGAGCGGTGGAAACTCACGTGATTTTTTTTTACCGGCGTGAAATGACTTCAAGCAAAAGCTACCGGGTCCAAGTTAACCTGAGAGACTTGCAGAGAGATTAATGTAACCCTGTTCCACTCAAACGAAACTATTAACTTAACTATTAACCGCCGTTACCTTCTCATTCGTTTCACATTAATTCAAGTGTGGGCGAATCGGTGGGCCAGTGGTTGGCGCATGTCAAGGCGCTCTTCCTCCTCCCTCCCAGCTTAAATAGACGCTCCAAGCCTGGAGTGTGTCATTCAGAATCTGTCTTCTCGACAGACCTGTTCTTCACCTGAGGACGGCTGCTTGCGTTGTGGCCGAAACGTCGTGAGAATTATTTTATTATGTTTTATTTTTAGTATTTTATTATTTCCATTCTACGTGACTTTACCGAAAGAACCAAGAAGATGAATCCCTGCAGTCACGAAAGCTTTAAATCGAACTCGAAGCCCCGACTTCAAATCCCGGCCGTGGCCAACATCCCGGAGAAGGTGACGTTGTCCAAACCTGGGCCCTCTCGATATCCGTCAACAACCCCGCGTTGACTGGCGTGCTGAAGTACGGTCAAGCCAACCCCCCCCCCCCCGACACGGCATGGGGAAGGCCATCATCACCCAGGGCGTGAAGTGACAAAGTGGCTGTGAGTTGAATTACAGCTGCAACAAAATGCAGAGCTGTCAACCCCTCATCAGTACCCTACCTAAATACAGACCAATTCAGACCTCATTGGTCACCCCGTGCCCCCTATACATCTCAACGTTCATCCTACAAAGTCCCAACACAAGGGAGAAACACAAACTCAGACAAAATATGTTGCCCGTATTGAAACGGCTGTACACCGTATGGACCTGAAAACTCCATTTCCCTGGACGAGAATACGGGGTAAACCGTGATGGGTTGACAGCCGTGATGTTTGCAGACGCAAATTCCCTCTTTCTGATCACGACCGGGAATGTCCCAAATCTCCCGGTCTGTGCCCCACGTCGCATTCACCACGGCACATGCCCACATCGCCTCCCGGTTACGCCGCGTGGCATTGGCGTTCAGCGGCTGCAGCCCTGCTCATGAGGACGGGTGACGGTGTGAAGTGACCCGCGACCGCCTCGTTGAAACGAGGGGATTTTTTTATTTTTTGTGAAGCTGAAACAGCATCACATTTCCTTTGAATGCTTAAACCTTGATGCCTTAAGTCGCCCATTCGTAAAACGACCTCGCTTACTTTAATTGTGCTCCGTTCTCTCGGCCGAGGGCAGTTTGTGTAAAATCCAGCGTTGTATCGCACTACGGCCCTGACATCTATGCTCCCCGCCTTCGCCAACCCCCACACGGAGCAGCGTGGCGAGATGTGGTCAAATCACCCCCGCGGTGAGCCGCGACGTGGCGGCATGTCCCCCCAGACCCAGCAGCGGGTTGTCAAAAGGCTGCACACACTTGCACGTCAGAGACAAAGAGCCCCCACCCCCCCGTGTAGCCCGAGTAGACTGTTGGGGCAAGAATCTGTTAGCGAGCACCTATGAAGGCCGGCACGGCAACACGAGGGGTGGGTGGCCAGCACCACGCCCGGCCGCCTTTGTCTCCCCAGCGGGCGATGTTTCGCACACAGCACCGGGTCACTAGTCGAGGCCCAGGACAGGTTCAGACAATCGTCGCTGAAACGTGAGAATCGAAGTCGGGAACCACCAGGCTCGTGGCGCGGTGCTCCAACTCGCTCACACCACCACCACCACCAGCCCCCCCCCCCCCCACGTGTTCACGACCCCCAGCAGCAGAGCGAGGGGAGCCGTCTCACAATCGCACAACGCAACGAACACAAAGAGCACCGCCCCCTCCATCCCCGTCCAGGCTGCTGGGGGCGAGCGATGTTCCAGCGAGCGCGCCCAATTTAAAACACCACCACCGCCAGGACACGCGTGAGCTCGAGAGCACACCTGTTCACCCCTCGTCAGTGCCCTCCCTACCTTGTTACAGACCAATTCAGATCTTATTGGTCACCACGTGCCCCCCTTATAAGTATCAACGTTCATCCAAACAAAGTCCCATTACAACGGAGACAAAATGTTGTTTTGTTTGACCGGCTGTAGGCCGTATGGAACCGAGCACTCAATTCACCTTCACAGGAATTAGGGAGCTACACCCGGTGGGTTGACACGGGGCATGCGGGAGGATGGGGCATTATGGGATGTGGGGTATGCGGGAGGATGGGGCATTATGGTATGTGGGGCATTATGGGATGTGGGGCATGCGGGAGGATGGGGCATTATGGGATGTGGGGCATTATGGGATGTGGGGCATTATGGGATGTGGGGCAAAGCGGCAACGCCCGCTCCGCCTGTGCCCTCGCCCCGGGGCTGAGGTTGTCCACCCAACGTGGTGCATCTGGCTCGGAGAGCGGAGGCAGCGACAAGGGCAGCACCACCAACAACACCACCAACACCACCACCACCAACACCACCACCACCAACACCACCACCACCAACACCACCACCACCAACACCACCACCAACACCACCACCAACACCACCACCACCACCACCACCAACACCACCAACACCACCACCACCAACACCACCACCACCACCAACAACACCAACACCACCACCACCACCAACACCACCACCACCAACACCACCAACACCACCAACACCACCACCACCAACACCACCAACACCACCACCACCAACACCACCACCAACACCACCAACACCACCACCACCAACACCACCACCACCACCAACACCACCACCACCACCACCACCAACACCACCACCACCAACACCACCACCACCACCAACACCACCACCACCAACACCACCACCACCAACACCACCACCACCAACACCACCACCACCAACACCACCACCACCAACACCACCACCACCACCAACACCACCACCAACACCACCACCACCAACACCACCACCACCAACACCACCACCACCACACCACCAACACCACCACCACCAACCCCACCACTGGCTCGCGGACACCATCATCACACCGCCACCACCGACTGCATCTCAGAGACAAAGATCTCCCCCCAGCACCATCACCCCCACCACCACCACCACACACATCAAAGTCGACCTATGAAGGGCCGGCACGGCACACGAGGTGGGTAAGGTGGCCAGAACCACGCCCGGCCGCCTTTGTCTCCCTACCACCGAGACACACACCAACCCCATTAGTCAGAATGAGCGCCCCCCCCCCCCCGGGAAAGGCCAGGGGTAGCGCCATATAATGACCCCCTCCCCCTGCTGCTATAACAAAAAAATTAAACTAAAAATTAAAAAAGAAAACTCACCCCTGTCAAATGGACGTAGAGGACTTTCTTGGCCATTGCCGACTGCGGAGACGGCGCGAGAGAGAGAGGAGAGAGACGCAGAGAAACCTGCTCCTGCTGCTCCCCCGGTGTCTTCAAAGATCAAGTCGCTACTAAATACGAGGCGTCTCTTGTGAAGGGGAGCCGCGGGTGTGTGGGGGTGACGCTGGCTACACGTGGTGGTGGTGGTGGAGGTGGTGGAGGTGGTTGCAGGGCACACGCGCTCTCTGTGC